TAATATAACTCAACGCCGACTGCGAATGTAATTAGATTTTATTAAGAAATTAAGCAGATGTTTGATGTTGCGTCGTCAGCGTTCACAAGTGTGAAGAAATTGTAAACATTTTACTCAGTAATGTCGCGTTTACTCGTCCACAGTGCGTCGGCGGTTGAATGAACAATATGTGAGAAGTTGCCGGACAGTTATTATTTGAGTTTGCGCCGAATGTGAAGTGTGTGTAAAGTTTTATCGGAAGTGGAAGTGACATTTGATCCTACACCTGTTAAAAACACGTCGAAAGGTATATATTGTGCAAGATATAATTAAAATATTCAAATGGCTTCGGCTAATTAAGTGCAGAAGGCGATTTAAATTTTAATTCATTACGTAATCATTCGGATTAACCAACTAAATAGCGTGAATGATTGCATTGAGCGCGTTGTCGACGTACTCGTATTCAGTGATATGAAGTAGTTTTCGAACTTTAGTTTTAGTCGACATGCGCATGAAATTTCAACCTGGTGTGAGATGCAGAAAAGTTTTGGCGCATGAATGTTGAAACTTGTTGTGAATTTAGTTGATTTCCAGTTTGAGATCTAGTTCTATTGATTTAATAAATTTCATAAATTTGTGTTTTAAAGCTATTTTGATACTTTTATAATGCAATACAAATTGCCTATAGTTGACAGAATGTGTTTTGGAGTGTAACTCCTTTAGATATTGATTTTTAACTAAAATTAGTGAAGTAAAGCTGAAATTTTGTAAAAATTTAGTTTATTTATAGTTTTATTGATTTTTGATATAAATAACATGTTTTATTAATGTTTTCATCATATTTTTGTTTTTGAAGCTGTTTTAGGCTTTGGTAATGCATTACAAGTTGCCTATAGTTGACAGAATATGTTTTGGAGTGTAACTCCATCTAGTTGTGGATTATTCAACTAAAATTAGTGAATTACAGCTGAAATTTCGTAAATATTTAGTTTATTTAAGTATTTATTGATTTTGGATATAAATAACATGTTTAATTAATGTTTTTCTTAATATTTTTGTTTTTAATGCTATTTTTACGCTATGGTAATGCATTACAAATTGCCTATAGTTGTGAGAATATGTCACAGAGTGTAACTCCATCTAGATTTTGATTATTTAACTAAAAATAAGTAAATTAAAGTTGAAATTTCCGAAAAATTTAGTTTATTTTATAGATTTATTGAGTTTGGATATAAATAACACGTTTAATTAATGTTTTTCATTATATTTTGGTGTTTAAAGCTATTTTTACGCTATGGTAATGCATTACAAATTGCCTATAGTTGTGAGAATATGTCACAGAGTGTAACTCCATCTAGATGTTGATTATTCAACTAAAATTAGTGAATTCAACTTGAAATTTCGTAAAAATTTAGTTTACTTATAGTTTTATTTAATTTGGATATAAATAACACGTTTTATTAATGTTTTTCTTTATATTTTTGTGTTTAAAGCTATTTTTAGGCTTTGGTAATGCGTTACAAGTTGCCTATATTTGACAGAATATGTTTTGGGATGTAACTCTCTATGATTGTGGATTATTCAACTAAAATTAGTGAATTAAACTTGAAATTTCGTAAAAATTTAGTTTATTTATACATTTATTAATTTTCGATATAAATAACACGTTTAATTAATGTTTTTCTTAATATTTTTCTGTTTTTTTTATTTTTAGACGTTGGTAATGCATCAGAAGTTGCCTATCGTGGTGTGAAAGTGCGTCTGAGCGTAACTCCCTCTGGATGTGATTCATCCAAGCCCGTGGGAATGGACTTCCAGGACAATGCGCTTGACACGCCTGAAATCGGACGCGTAATTAACGCGCCGGCGATAATTAACAAGCGGGCGGCGATTGCCGCCGTTGTCGTTTCCGTTTCCTGCTCGCGACGGCGGCGAATGCGGCTGGATTATCCGGCGAGCATGTTTGCCAGCACGAGGAAAGGTCAGGTTCCATGTGCCAATTAATCGCGGAGCAATTAAATCCACTTGTCGATACACAACTCGTCGACAAACAAACTATTATACACTTAACAACATAACAACACAAAATAACCTACTTAGAGTCGGTGATATTTTTTTTTTTTGATTTGATTTGTTATTAATTGCATAATGAATGGAAAACGGAAGTATTACGCATGAATGAGCGCGTTATAAATATAACTTTTAAATTGTTTATTGGCAAATGATCTGGTATGCGCTGTTAAACATCACACATTAATAAAGTTGGTTTATTGGTTCGTTAAACGTGATTTACACACCCAATCTCAGTTGACTAATCTTTCCGGTGACAATTTTTATGGTTTTGTTTAAATTGCGCAGAAATTAGTAGATTATGAAAGTTTTTTAAGTGGTAATATCATAAACAATATTAATATCGATAATTTAAGACAAGAACCAGTTTGATATCACTATTTAAAACAAAGTTATCATAGATTTTGTTAGAAAAAATAATTATTTAAGTTTTTGTTGAATAACAATTAAATATTAACATTTTTAAATCTGTAAAATGTTAATTTTATAGTTTTATAACATTATCTACACATTGAAGCTAAAATAATTAATTTATCTTTATTAGTTTCGTAGTTATTGCGTAGTTAAGACGCAAAAACAATAAACGCGTAATATTAATTCAGTTTTTGTTGAATAACAACAAAATATTAATATTTTTTTAAACTTTAAAAACTCAATTTCATAGATTTTTAAATTATCTACGTACGGAAATAAAATCAATTATTTATCTTTATTACTTTCGTAGTTATTGCAAATTTAAGACAAAAAAATAAAAACGCATAATATAAATTCAGTTTTTGTTGAATAACAACAAAATATTAATATTTTTAAACTTTAAAAACTCAATTTTATATTTTTAAAACTATCTATACATTGATACAAAAATCTTATTTATCTTATCTTTATTAGTTTTATAGTTATAGCAAATTTAAGACGCAAAAACCAATAAACGCGTAATATTAAATCAATATTAAATCTAAAAATAACAACTAAATATTAATATTTTTTTAAACTTTAGAAACTCAATTTCATAGATTTTAAAATTATCTACACATAGAAACAAAAATAAATTAATTATCTTTATTACTTTCGTAGTTATTGCAAATTAAACACGCAAAACAAAAAAAAAACGCATAATATTAATTCAGTTTTTGTTGAATAACAACTAAATATTAATATTTTTTAAACTTTAAAACTCAATTTATAGTTTTTAAGATTATCTACATATAGGAATAAAAATAATTAAATTATCTTTATTAGTTATTTAGTTATTGCAAATTAAACACGCAAAACAAAAAAAACGCATAATATTAATTCAGTTTTGTTGAATAACAACTAAATATTAATATTTTTAAACTTTAAATACGCAATTTCATAGATTTTAAAATTATCTACACATAGAAACAAAAATAAATTAATTATCTTTATTACTTTCGTAGTTATTGCAAATTAAACACGCAAAACAAAAAAAAAACGCATAATATTAATTCAGTTTTTGTTGAATAACAACTAAATATTAATATTTTTTTAAACTTTAAAAACTCAATTTCATAGATTTTAAAATTATCTACACATAGAAACAAAAATCAATTATCTATCTTTATTACTTTCGTAGTTATTGCAAATTAAACACGCAAAACAAAAAAAAACGCATAATATTAATTCAGTTTTTGTTGAATAACAACTGAATATTAATATTTTTTTAAACTTTAAAAACTCAATTTTATAGATTTTTAAATTATCTACCCATAAGAGCAAAAATCAATTATCTATCTTTATTACTTTCGTAGTTATTGCAATTTAAAGACGCAAAAACAAACAAACGCATAATATGCATTCCATTAAACACACCACACGAATACATAAACTCGAAATTTATTAGCCATCAATGTACAAACCACATATTTATTAGCACAAAAAGCCAGTCGGTGAGGTAGTATCCGGAAGAAGCAACTGTCTCGCACACGGGAAAAGTAAAAGTGATCTGTGTGCGGAGCACGTCTCCGGCGTATCGGAATTACGCACTCAAAATAAACTACTCGTACAGGTGACCAGGTGGAGCTCTCTACTCGTGAAGTTTTTACGTTTTTACTCTTATTTTGTTTACATACCATCAAATAAAACCAACTACGGCATTATTTCCATCATAAACATATCATATCACCTTTTACTTCGTATTCTGTTACAAAATATCAAAATTTTCCGATTAAACGGCATTAAATTAACGAAAACGTAAATAAATATCTCAAATCCGATCGGAATGTGACTTTCCAATCAATTTTCACCTGCGTGCTCGATGAAGCAACGTGTTTATGACTAATTCCAACGCCGTTTTTGTCAAAAAAGGCAATCGCTCCGATTTTACGAGTTTGGTTAGGTTTTAACCTATAAAAATCATTAGAAACGCAAAAATAGAATAAAATTGTATTGTACGTATACGTATGCAACACACATTACGTAACAGCGTGCGCGACCCAATTTTTTCCCTCCGTTTAATTTCTTTTCAACGACGGCCTATTGAAACACAATAAATAACGGACACGACGCCATAAGTGCACACATTGGTAATGAGAATATAACACACACGGCAATTGCCAATAGAATTCACGCACACACGCGAATGCTTGGTTGCAAAAGGAAAGAAAACGTTTATTACTACAATTTTTTGTAAATTCAACGCTAATACCCAGACATTTATCATTGCGGATTGGGGGGACAATAATTTATCGTGGGTAGTTCAAGCACACATATACACTGACACGAGGAAGTCGCTGATATTAAAATGATGTCACTTTCTGTTACGCGAAGTGAAAAATTTACATTTTTTGCTTTTAATTTTCAAAATATTAAGATTTTTAAAAATTTTCAAAAACCAATAGATTCGTAATTAAATTCCTCATAATTACATATTTTTATAAATTTTGTGCGATTAATACTTTCGGAGATATTTCAAGTTTTGTAAAAAAAAAATAATTTTTTTAAATTTTTTGCAGATATACAGTTAATACAACCGAATATTTCCCTAAAAACATCACAATTCGTAGTTTTCAATGGTGTATGCAAGTTCCACCACGTTGTTCAACTTTTTCTTATCGTATTATCAACGAATCAAGGATAATTGTAAGTATTTACGAATAAAATCTAGTATTTTAGTAAAATAAACTAAAATAAGCATGTATAATGTCTTTATAAACATTCTACTTAAGTTAAGTCAGCTTAACTTAACTTGACTTAAGTTAAGTCGTTTTTCGTTTCGTGCGGTGAGTGGTATGCACACACGATTGGCTTTGGCAACCGCCATGCTGTTCCGCTCCAATTACAGTGATGCCATGCGAATAACACAGCGCTCATGACCAAAATAAAAAATAAAAACCACTCTTAAGTACTCGTACCCAACACACACTTAAATTCATGTGAAAACCTTATAACGAAACATTATAATTGCCCATAACTAATATTTAATCGCAATATTTACTATGATGTAATTTGTATATTTGGTTGCCTATATTAAAAAAAAGTTCATCATTTTCTAAAACAAAAATTAGCATTTACGACTGCGTTTAATTGAATACTCTGCTCGACACAAAGGGAAAGGAGCGCACAGAGTGAAGAAAACACGGAAAACCAGCAAGTAGATTACTTTACGGCTACCTGCGACCTGATGTGTAACACGAGGAAGTCGTTGATGCCGCGCATTCGGCAGTCTGCGCCGAAATTACGCGTCATTTCCTATTCCGTATTGACGTTTCTTTGCCGCGTTTTATTACCACGTGCGCGCTACTCACGCGCCCAACCACGCAACACACCATACACAGCACGTGCATCATCAACACCGTTGTCGAGATTATTTTCGATCGAGAATCAATCAAGGAGCGACCAATGCGATTTTATAACAAAGAATGTTGTGAATATTGCGGAGACTCGCCGCGGTTGTGTAACACGCTTGTGTTTAATTGCGATATTGCATCCGGTTGGTATATATTAATGTGCGCTTGCAAGTAGGCGACAACAATGCGGCTTGGGGTACGCCTTTTTGCATTCGCAAATGGAATTTCATAGTTTATTTCATAATTGTATTGATTTATTCTTGGTATTAATGGAAATATAGGAGAATTATCAAGATTGATCATAATTGCATGTTTATGAGATTATTATTAGTTAAACAAACAAGAAAATTAGTTTTTTGCAAAAAATATTAATAATTATTAACTAGCAAATTTAGCAAGTTAGCAAATTTCATGTTTTATGACGATTTTTGCTTATTTCTGCAATTTTCGCAAAAAAAATTTAAAAAAAAATCATAAAACTTTATTTTTGCAAAACTATTATTATTTACAAATTAATAATAATAATAGTTCTTTGTATTTCTTTTGATACATATTTTTACTATTTACCAGGAAATTTAATGATTTTTGGCAATTTTTCCTAATTTTTTGCTAAAAAACGTGAAAAAGTCCATAAAACTCATTTTTATGCAAAAATAATTATAATTTATAAAGTAACAATAATAATCATGGTATATTTTATTACTTATTAGAAAATTTCATGGTTTTTGACGATTGTCGCTAATTTTTTTACAAATTTTGCTAAAAATGTGAAACAAAATTCGCAATATTTATTTTTGCAAAAAAACATTATTATTTATGAACTAATAATAATACTAAAAATATTTTTTTATATTTAATGATAAATCTATTTGCTGTTTAAGAGAATATTTCATGTTTTTGACAGTTTTTGCTAATTTTTGTAAAAAACGTAAAAAAGTCCATAAAACTCATTTATTTGCAAAAGTAATTATAATTTATAAACTAACCATAATAATAAATATATTTTCAGTTCTAAATATAGATATTCTCATTAACTAAAAGATAATTCCATGTTTTTGACAATTTTTGTTCATTTTTTCTAAAAATATGAAAAAGGTCAGAAAAAATATTTTTTTTACAAAAATCATCATAACTCATAAATTAATAATAAAAATAATATTAATTTTAATACTAAAGACAGATATTTTACTATCTATAATAACTTCACGTTTTTTGTAATTTTTAATAATTTCATCAAAAATCGAAAAAAATTCAAAAGTTGCAAAACATATTCAGGTTAATTGAATAGCTCTAGATATTTTATTTACACTTGTGAAATAGTTAGTTAACATTTTTTTAGGAAGAAGAACGAATCCGCCAGGTGAGCGTCTGCTGCGACGGCTATGAACCAGATATTGAAGGCGAAAAGTGCGCGCCGTCGTGCAAATTGCGATGCGCGAACGGCAAATGCAACGAAGAGAACAAGTGTTATTGCGAGCCCGGCTACAGAGGCGACTATTGCGAGACAGGTACAGAGTACAAGCACTAAATATTTATTTCAAATTTCACTCCCATTCCAACTCCGACTTCATTAATTTTAATTTCTATTCAATTCCAAACTCACAACTCAAAAGAAAAAAAAAACGAATTAAAATTTCGTAATTAACTTTTTACATTTTGCGATCCTAATTCTAAATTTATGTTAATTACAGCTTGTGATTCAAACCGCTGGGGACGTTATTGTCGTTATCATTGCGAATGTCAACAAGGAGTATGCGATTCAAACACGGGTAGATGTCGCTGTCCTCCAGGCTGGACTGGATTAAGGTTAAAATTCATGTTTTAACGAATTTTTTAAGAATCAAGGTGATAATTTCTGTTTAGATGTGAGAAACCATGCCAACCGGGTTTGTACGGTGCGAATTGTGAGAGTATCTGTGAATGCAACACTGATCAAATTTGTGACTCACAAGATGGCCGCTGCACGAATAAAGTTAAGGTGGCGGTGCTTAAGAAGTACCACACTTTCGACACGAATACAACAACAAAGGCGCACGGTGCCAAAAAGATTGATATGTATCTCTTAACAACGCCAAACTCATTATCTCCTGCTGGCATTGCGCTAATTACAACCACAATTAAAACCACTACAGCCGGTGGTAAATTAAATGTTGTAAATTACACTGATAACGTATCAACGGCGCAGATCGCCGCCGAAGTCAAAATCAAGAGTATGGATCGGACAGTGATGAAATCCGATGAGGAGATTTCGCCGAAAGAAGCGAAAGCACACGCCGAGGTCATCGCCAGCGCGGAGGACAATCACCAAGTGTACAATTTTGCTGCGATCAGTTTTCTGGCCATCGTTGCACTAGCAGCGTCCGGTTTCCTCATCGCCGTGCGATTATTAAAGCAAAAAGGCGGCGAAATCAACAAATCACCGCAAGAAACGCAAACAAAAAGTATTTTTCATACGCCATTACCTGGTAACCTATGCAACCATACATACACGCAGCACAAGTAGTATAACTTAACCGAATTGGTTTCAGAACCGCCACAAAGTCCTTTCTTTGATTCTGCGCCTTGTGCGCTGTATCATCAACGTATTGGTGATAATAACGTTGTTATCAATACAAGATTATCATTTTCTTCGGTACAAACCACGCCAACCTTGGCTTATATTGACGAATCAAACGAATCCGAAGGTATAATGATAAATTGGAAAATATACATTACATCGTTATAAGTTTTAATTGCAAATTGCAATAATTACAGTTTTGGATGCGTGCTATGATCAGTTACCGTCGACGCGCGGTACTTACAAGGCCACAACCGCCCCCGAACCACCCCCAGCGCCTGTAATCACCAATAATCCACCGGAAAATGATGAGAATTTATATGATGAGATCCCATGCTGGACCAGATCGACTGATAACAATGCACTGTATATTAATACACGCATCGAGAACAAAACTCAATTTTAATCATTCATTTGTAGCCGATATTTGTTGATAAATTAATAAATAATTGTGACCTGAATTTATTTTATATCTCTTTGAATATTCATCACACTTGCACGAATAGTGTCGGAATATTAAGTGGCGTTGGATTAACTAGCACCCGCAAAGTGTGATAAAAACAAATTATTACTGAGTAGTGAGTACACTTTACACCTACGTGGAAAACGAAGCTACCAGAATGAGGTGGGATGATTGTAACAAGAAAATTTATGAATGTTTCATGCGTGTTCATGACCTGTGTACTAAATTTCCAGTTAACATATTTTCGGAGGATGAATAATGAAAGATTACGTATTTGGGAGCCATTTTGTGACATGTGTAATTTAAGGTTATGATTATACTCCTTATGAAGTTCTACTTGTTGGATAATTATTGGTTGTGATGATAATTAAATGTTTTTGCAAATGATGCAAATTTTTCTTTTTTCGTTGTAGTTGATTGGAAGTGGCACGTTGTGACGATAAGGAGTGCATTATTAAACGTTTGTCGATAAAGCCGCGGCACTTGCTAATATAATAATCACGTTTGAACATCGTGAACATCAATATTTGAATGGATTCCATCTAGCCAATGAAAAGTTTACCGGCATCATGTATCATGAGCAATGGATGAACACCCCGGTGAAAAATTAATCACATCATGGCGGTTGCCCGCCTATTTAAGCTCTGGTCCCCGTGAATACCATCGTAGTTTGTGGCAACGTGTGGTGTGGTGCGGTAAAAATGAATTACCGAATTAATTTCTTGATTATCATCGCGAATTATGTCGTGGGTACCTCCGGGTTGTTCTTTAGTGGTGTTGGAGTCTGCACTAAACAACAAGAGTAAGTCATAACCTCAAAATATTTCATTTTTTGATATTATTGTGTAAATATATAGGGTTACCATTAATGGTACCACATCAGTACGTACCTTGAATGTTTGCTGTAAGGGATACAAACCAGATGGCACTAGAAACATCTGTACCCCTGTTTGTACCAGAATGTGTATACAGGGTACCTGCACAGCTCCGGATACTTGTACCTGCAAACCTGGGTACTCGCAGGATTCACGAAATAAATACATGTGTAACGCGGTGTGCTCCCAAGGTTGCTCCAATGGGTTCTGTGTCTCCCCGGAAGTCTGCCGTTGTAATAATGGTTTCTCCCCGAACCCTAATAATGAGAATAAGTGTACCAAGATGTGTACCACTAAAAGAGGAGATAAATCCGGAGCATGTACCTGTGATAGAGGTTATAATCCTGTGGAGGATAGTAACTTCTGCGCGGCCATTTGTAGTAAACCTTGTGTCAACGCGGATTGCTCCCTACCTGAAACCTGCTCCTGTTGGAAAGGGTTTACCAGGGATTCTAGGAATAGGAACCAATGTAATCCGATGTGTAAAGATGTTGATTGTACGAATGCAGTGTGCACTGGGTTGAATGAATGTACCTGTAATGTGGGTTTCATCAAAGGGGATAATAATACCTGTGTTGAGGAAGTGGTCAAATGTGACCCTGATTGTATTAATGGAGAATGTATTGAGGGGAAGTGTGTTTGCAACAAAGGGTATGCTTCCAATGAAGGTGAGAGTCATAACTGTCAAGCTGTTTGCACCAAGGAGTGTGTGAATGGGAAATGTACCAATGTTGATGAATGTACCTGCAATGATGGATTTACCAAGGATCAAAGTGATCCATTCCTGTGTGTCCCAATGGCAAGTTGTTCTAAACCATGTGTGAATGGGGAATGCTCCGGGGTAGAAACCTGTACCTGTAAGGAGGGATACCAGGTTGATCCATCTGATGATTTCAATTGTCTACCTATTTGCCTGACCACGTGCCAAAATGGACTCTGTACGGGACCTAATGAATGCACTTGTAATGAAGGTTTTGAACAAGATGAAGATAACCTATTTCTGTGCATAAGAAAATGTGAGAAAGGTTATGTTCTCCAAGATGATAAAATTACTTGTTCCCCTGTATGTGCCAACTGTCAAAATGGTCTCTGCACAGCTCCTGAAGTATGTACCTGTAATGAAGGTTATATTTCTGATGATTTGGGATCATGTAAACCCTTTTGCAAAGAAGATTGTGTTAATGGTGAGTGTACAGGTCCCAACAAATGTTCCTGTTCTCCAGGGTACTCCACAAACCCTAACAACCCTAATGAATGCCATGCCAAATGCTCCAAGACTTGTATCAATGGACAATGCTCAGCCCCGGATACCTGCACTTGTAATAAAGGTTATATCTTGGACGAGGATAACAAATATGTCTGTATCCCTACCTGTTCGAAACCCTGTGTGAATGGGGGTTGCTCCAAGTTGGATACCTGCAATTGCTTCAAAGGATACACCCTTAACCCAAAGAATAAGTTCCAATGTGATGCTGTTTGCTCCAAAGAATGTATTAATGGTCATTGCTCAGAACCTGAGACCTGCACATGCAACAAAGGTTATGAACTTGATCCTAACAACCCTTATTTATGCAACGCTACTTGTCTACAACCCTGTATCAATGGGGATTGTACCAAAGTTGATGTATGTACCTGTCATAATGGTTACGAATTGAATTCTGAAGATAAATTTCAATGTGACCCTGTTTGTGGGGAGGAATGTATCGATGGACAATGCACAGGTCCGGATACATGTACCTGCAACATAGGGTTTGAGTTGGAAGCAGGTAGTAAGAGTAAATGTGTACGTATAGAAAAATGTACCCAGGAATGCATAAATGGGATCTGCAATGGTATAGATATCTGTCAATGTAATGAAGGTTATGTTCTTTCTAAGAAGGATAAATTTACCTGTGTCCCTGTTTGCACCTCACCTTGTATTAATGGTGAGTGTGTGGCTCCGGATACCTGTAAATGTAATGATGGTTTAGTGATGGACCCAAGTGATAAGTACACCTGTGGACAGAAATGTTCCAAACCCTGTATTAATGGGAATGTATTGATGGTGATCTGTGCAAATGCAAAGAGGGTTACACCATGACCTGGAAGATAAATATTTATGCTCAGCAGTTTGTAGTGAACCATGTATGCATGGGAACTGCACAGCCCCGGAAACCTGTACCTGTCATAAAGGGTACTTCCAATCTGCAGTTAGTAAATACCAATGTGATCCCATCTGTACTAAACCCTGTATTAATTCAAAATGTACAGCCCCGGATACCTGCTCTTGTAATTCCGGGCTGGATCCTGACCCAGTTGATAAATTTGCTTGCATTGTCAGCTGTTCCAAACCCTGTATAAATGGGGTTTGCTCTGCGAAGGATACCTGCACTTGCAATTCAGGATATACCAAGGACCTATTCAATAAGATGAAGTGTAACGCCATCTGTTCAAGTCTTTGTATTAATGGTCAATGCACCGCACCGGAAACTTGTACCTGTCGTGCTGGTTACGCCCTTGATGACACCAACAAATACCTCTGTAAACCAGTTTGTTCAGAACCTTGCATTAACGGTAATTGCATTGGTCCCAACATCTGCGGATGTTCCCCAGGGTTCAAGAAGACCAGTAAGAATATGTGTACCGCCAGTTGTTCGAAACCCTGTATAAATGGGAAGTGCACAGGGCCTAATATGTGTACCTGTGATCCGGGATTCAAACCTGATGCTGGTGATCCTAATAAATGCAATGATTGTGATGGTAAACCATGTGCAGATGCTCCAGTACCGATTCTTCCAAGTAAAGCCGCATGTGAAGCTTCCTGTAAAACCGGAAGTATCTGTAAAACTGATCCTGTCACCAAAGGTTTCTTCTGTGAACCTCAGTGTCCAAATGGTATGGTCTTTAATGAAGAAACCAATAAGTGTATGGCTGCTAAACCATGCCCACAGGGTTGTGGGAATGGGGAATGTCAGGATGGGGAATGTATCTGTAATGTGGGATTCATGGGTGAGACCTGTGAGAATGAAACCAGCGAAATTGCTGCTGCAATGTAAGTACTCGTAAAACAATCAACAATATTTATTTAATAATAATAATAACAATCACTATGACTTCCAATCATCACCACCATGTAGGTTGTATTCCTGCACTTCCTGTTGTTGGACCTCTATAGCAGTATCATGATATTCATCTCCATGGTCTTCATTTTCATTGTGATGATCCTCCACTGGATAAGGGACGTGTTTCTCCACCTCCACAGGGACATGTTTGACCACTTCATAGGGCACAGGTCGTTCCACAGGTACCTTCACTGGATAGTGCACCTCTTTCTCTACAGGTACATGTACCTCTTTATATACCGGATATGGTTTAGGTACAGGGATTTTTACAGGATAAGGAACAGGTTTCTCTACTTTAACAGGGACAGGTCGTGGGACGGCTACCTTCACAGGATACGGTATATATTTATCATAGGGTACAGCCACATTTTTGACCACTTTCACAGGAATAGGTTTATCTACAAATTTGGGGACGGGTTTATCAACGTAGACATTCACAGGAACAGGGACGTGTTTAACCACAGGATAGGGTTTAGGTACCTTTACAGGGACCTTAACAGGGACATGTACATGTTTAACAACAGGGAATGGAGCGGGGACTTTTACAGGGACAGGGACAGGGACCTTTTTTTCTATTCTGATAGGTTTTTTTACGAGCACCTTAACAGGGATAGGTTTATCAACAAAGACTTTCACAGGGACATGGACATTTCTTACTTTGGGAATGGGTAAAGGGACGGGTACCTTCACTTTGACAGGGACCCGGATCGGAACAGGGACATTTTTTACAACTGGATAGGGTTTAGGTACAGGGACCTTAACAGGGACACCAATATTTTTGAAAACAGGCACGGGGACATTTTTAATGACCGGAACCGGGTGTGGTACACCTTTAACAATGGTAACTGTCTTTTCCACGTCTACATGATGCCCCAAATCGATTGATTCATGATGTTGATGATGATGATTACCAGAAAATACCGTAGGGATAAAAAACGCTAGAATCTTTGAGGTTATGTGATTAATTTTAATAAATTTTTAGGTTTTTTATTCTACTCACAAGTATAAAATGCATTGCAAGTTGATTTCGAAACTAAACGCGCCATGCATTATTGCCGCAATATATACGCATTCTACTTCCACAACTTTCCACTTTTCCGCATACTCATCCGCATTTCCTGCGCGCGCAAAAACAGCAAAAACGACAATTGCGCAACGCAATCTCTAATTGTCATCGCATGCGACTAATTGCGCTCGTTCCTTCCGCAGGAGTTCCATGTGGATGACCGTCGGAATCGTCGCAGGCGTCATCTCCATCGCCGGTATTACCGGTTATGTCGGCTACACGCTGCGGAAGAACTGGGCGAATCCACACACAGCGCCAGATGTTGAGAAAAGTGAGTTTACTCAACAACTTCAACTCAAATCATTAAAATTTCAATGTTTAGACGCAGCTGGAATTCCGGTCGTCTCGCACATCAAGGAAGACGGTCAACGTCACATCCCAGTCTGGGGAGGTGGAGAAGTAGTTGTCTCACGAAGTTAATCACCATATTAAATTAATTATTTGTTAAATTTATTAAAACCTAACCTCTAAATCTTAGATAATTTGATATGAATATAAATATAGCATTGAAGGATACAATTGCGTGGTGTGTTTTCTTCCTGTCTCCCTACTCTCCCCCACGTTTATTCTGGAATGTCTGTATTGCGCATGCGCCATGACCGCCGCGCCGCGGTTAATGTTCATACGATGCCAGACGTCCCGACGCTGCCGGCGACGGTGGTGCACGCCCGCAACTCGCTGAAAACCACGCGACAAAACAAAACCTTTCCGGTTTTCCGGTTTTCCGGTTTGCATTATACCCGTGTGTGTGTTTATCTATGAAAGTGTGTGCGAAGATGCCATCACTGGATTAATCCACATCTGTCACAAGAAGTGTATGCAGGTAAACATCAAGTTTTGGTTGTGAAATTCGCAATATCGATCCGGGACCGCGGTGTGAAATACGAAACCTGGTGCTGAAGCGCTCGATAACACTCGAGATTCCAAACCGGAAAACAATGTAGTTGTGTGGTTTCTTTCAGGATTGATTTAAGTTAGGATAAAATGCAAGTTACTGATGACGGACCGCATTTTGATTGCTTCGGCTCGCGCACGAGGAGATGAGGTCCTTCGCGTTGCTCCTGCTCGCCATTGTCTACGCCAATCTTTCGACGCTGATCGCACAGAGACTCGTCCCACCGCGTCAGTATCACGCCAGTGATGATGATAAGGACCACGAGAATACACGCACACAGCCGCGGCCCCTCGACGACGATTACGAATCGGATAATTCCACCGGTAAGCTGAAATATTTATTTTGCCCACATCACTTTTGACACGTTTCCAAATGACCTACAAAGTCAAAGTTAAAGTTAGGAATATTATTAACATTTCACATTTCGCTTGTAATTTGTAAGGAAGTATTTTTGATGTGTTTGAAGTATCAGGTGACTTTGCGAAACACTTCCGGTTGCTTTCGCCAGCGTAAACGCGATAATAGGTTTCGTTTTCGTGTGTGCACACAATGCATTCACGTAGGTACTCGTAGCTATTGTATAAAAGCGTGTAAAGCCTCTAAAGCCTGTCATATTGATCGTGGGGCCGGTTGCAATTTACGCCGAACATGCATCTGAAATACGGTCACACGCTAAATTTTTGCGTTTGCTTGGTCAACTTTGTTTAATCAATGAGAGCGCTACTAATGTAGGCAACCAGTCGTACGTTCAGCTGGAATTAAATTACACGTTAAAAACGCGTAAAAGCAGCGTTTTACAGCTTAAAATAAAAATCACGTTGAATAAACTTTTATTTTCATGTTTTTGATGATTTATCAAATGAATATCAAATTAAAAAGATATCTATCAAAGTTTTCCATTTGAATTATCCAAGTGGGTATAATCGAATATTTCGAGGATAGTTTGTAAAGTTTGCAACAAAATTTGCTTGGTCAATTTTGTTTAATCAATGAGAGCGCTAATAATGTAGGCAACCAGTCGTGCGTGCAGCTGGTATTAAATTACGCAATTACACGTTAAAACGCGCAAAAACTCGAAAAACAGTTTAAAATAAAAATCACGTAGATTCAACTTTTATTTGGATGTTTTTGATGATTTATCAAATGGATATCAAATTAAAAGATATCTATCAAAGTTTTCCACTTGAATTATACAAAGTTGGTATTATTGGATATTTCGAGGATAGTTTGTAAAGTTTGCAACAAAATTTGCTTGGTCAATTTTGTTTAATCAATGAGAGCGCTAATAATGTAGGCAACCAGTCGTGCGTGCAGCTGGTATTAAATTACGCAATTACACGTTAAAACGCGTAAAAACTCGCCAAAAGCAGCTTAAAATAAAAATCACATAGATAAAACTTTTATTTTGATGATTTTTGATGATTTATCAAATGGATATCAAATTAAAAAGATATCTATCAAAGTTTTCCACTTGAATTATCCAAAGTGGGTATTATCGAATATTTCGAGGATAGTTGGTAAAGTTTGGAACAAACGCACATCGAAAACGTGTTTGATTGAAGAGACCTGATCGAAATGCATAAATTCTTAATAAACTTGACTAATTACACGAGGTAGGCAGCTTATATTGATTATGAGATAAGTTTCCCTTAACTATTCCTCGGGCGTTGTACGAAAAATCAAAAGACTATAGTCTTGCGTGTCGAAATATTCATAACTTTGAGTTATGTGTTGTAATTTGCTTCCAGCAGCGCACGGCTTTTACCCTGCAATATAATAAACGCATTGCTTTACTGGTGGCCTAATTAGAGCGCGCTCGTTCCACTTCCATATTACTTTCTGAGTTACTGTACACTGTACCCATATACAGGGGAAATAGAAAGCCAAAGTTAAATTTAGATTCACTAGTCACGCAACTCCACAGCATTTGAATGAATGAATGAATGAGAATTAATTTCTGTGTGTTTTTGGTTTCCTTTCACAGACGAACAGTATTTGGGAGACGCATGCGATAAAATCTGCAGCGCATTGCTGCAGAATGCCTTCTGCAATCCGGCGACCAAGACGTGCGAGTGTCAGAAAAAGTATCCAGTTAAGCTCACGGCCGCCACCGGCTGCACGAAGCGTAAGCACAACTAAAATCCTTTCTATTTCTTCATACATATTACATGTCTCCAGAAAAAAGAAAAAAAATTGAATTTTTTGCCAAAAAACATCATAAATCAAACAATTTTCTACGTCTCAGGAAAGTAGTTAACTTTTCCGGTGTTTCCTCACGTGCTTATTGTTTGATTGAATGTCGACAGCGTTCGTAATAAATCATTCGTTAAAAATTACTTTTTTTGTTTTGTTTTTTTGCAGCAAAACGTTTGGGTGAACAATGTTGGTACAAAGCAGCTTGCGAATACTACGACCCTCACGCATCATGCGTGCAGGTCCATCACAATGCAATCTGTGCTTGCAGTTCCGGTTACCATTCGGTGTCTGTCACAAAACCGTCGAAAAAAATGTTTTGTGCCGAAGGTAAAAAATTTGTAGGTTAAATTTAGAAATTCTAAGTCTGCTTTTTTATGGTTGTAGACTTGGTGGTCATGACAACGGACTTTTCGACACTAGCAGGCGTTGTTTCCGGTATAGCAGTATTATCAGGACTTATCTGTTTCGTGTTAAAGTTGTTTAATCAGAATTTGTACGCTGGAAGACATCGATATGGCAACGCCGCATTGGCACCGCCGATTTTATTCAACAGTGACGGAGGTAAAATATCTTTAAAAGTAATTTTGAGCTACATTATGTTTTGCATAACTTAATAACCTAACTTTTTGTTCATTTCAACCCCTTAAATTCTACAACTCCTCAGAATAAATTCTGCATCTAAATGTTTTGCTTTCTGAATGCGTTAGTTGTGCTTAAAGCTTCTTGTCACGCAATAAAACACGCCCGGGTACAATTGATATATACTCTCCACCACAGCGCACCCTTAAATGTTTCTAAATAACGTAATAAAATTCACCCCTTAATCACGTACGTACCGATTGTGACACATTCGCCTTCGCACGCCCTCTGGATGATGGACATGATGGATAAACTTGTAATGCCGTTTGATGACCTTAATTTTAGACACAACCTCGTCCCAACCAATATATGGAAGTTTTTTACCGGTGAGGGATGTTGCAGGATCTGTGCCTATCATCGACCGCCGGCTGGTGTCGCGGGCGTCCAGCCAGCGGACACTGGCGTCTTCGCGGCGGCCGAGCAGCGCGCCGGGATGTCGCGGCGTTGCCGTTTCGGCGTCACGGGCAGGTGCGGCACGTGCCGCCGCCATCTTGCTACTCTCTTGCCATGAGATCACCGCCATCCCGGAGGTACCCCTAGGTTCGGGCCACGCTAACCGACTGTGTGTGCTAGCTGTCAACTTTGTCAAACAACACACCTACATCTCTTTTTCTCCCTTTTTTCTCTCTACAAACACTTTGATGTCGTGTGTTTGCTTTGTATTGTGTATTGTTGGTTGTCTAAGTCTAAACATTCGAGATACTTGAAAAACACATTACCCAATTGGCAAGGGCGCAAGATGGCTGCGGTTTGTTTCATTTATTTACTTATTACGTACTAATTAACCATGTAAATATATATTGAACCCTTTTTAGAGTATTTTTACATTGCTGCACTCGTAAATCATTAAATTAGCAGTATTTAATTGAAAATTAATTAAATAATCGAATTAAAAACATCACTCTACTGATTAAAACAAGTAAACCTCTTGGTATGTAGGTAAATGTTTGTTGTTGCATGGAATAACACATAAAACACAAACCGGAAACGACAAAATGAGCATGTGAATCAAAATTAACAAACATTTTCTCAAAATAACCAACTTTGGATGTTTCGATGTTGTACCAATGTATCCGTGTAGATTTTGAGGTTATTTTTGTTGATATTAATGGTACTATGTGGGTGATTATGTTTTTTGTTCCTGGTTAGGTTCACGCCGTCCGAGCATTGCTTCCGTGCACAGCAGCAACTCAATACGTAGCTATAGCATGCGTCGATACGAAAAGGAACGTGAGCAGAAAGAAGAACGTGAAATGCAGCGCCGGTTGGCGAAATTGACGGCGGGGACGAACAACAATGGCGGCACACGCGTACCACCCACGCCTAGTCCGCATTACACCGATGATTTACTTCCGACTCTACAGGAGGATGAACAAAGAGTTGTCGGTGTTACTCAAATACAGAATCAGGTATTATTTATTATTAATTAATAAAAAATTTGTAAAAATGAATTTTTGACGTTTTAGGTGCCATTAGCTTTATCCGAGGAAAGTGCTTCGAATAACGGTTTCAAAGAGGAGATCCCCTCGACGTCGAAACAGTTTCCATAACAAATTTATATTAAGTTTGCGCGCATTTCCACGAATCCCGAACAAGAATAATATCGAACACCACACATTCCGAAATAGAACGCTTTTTTATTCTCGTAATGAAACCCCAAAATTCTTCTCTCTAATTCATAGACATTAACTATAATAGCTGATGCGTAACTTGTAAGTAAAATGAAACAATTTATGAAGAAGAAAATACTACTAATATATGAATTGACCTATACACATTTATAGGTTATACATTATTGATAATAAAATTATGAGACAGATATCATAATAGACTGACACAAAATGTAAGTAAACTTAACTTATGAGCCTAGCGTTGTTTATTCATACATATTGTATTGTTATACAGCGTGTAACGTATGCAACCCAACATGCTGGTTGTGGTTTTTAGTTGTGATGTCACTGTAGGCAACCGTATATGCAATATTTTTGTATTGTTGATTGCCTATAGTAGATGTTGTGACTAAACAGGTATAAATACACGCTGTATATGCAATTTTGGTACGATTTTCTTCTTTTGCACAAATGGCGGTGTGTGATATAAACGAATGTATTGGGAATTCAGTTTCTAGATCGTAGCTTGAAGCTAAATCATTCGTGCACTCCGTTGGATAACTAGTTTTTGTTATTATGAGGTAAATTCAGAGACAAGTCAGCAGCTCTTTAATTTATAACGTTGAACACTTGGAGGATTAGCATAATCGTGTTGAGTACCATGTGTCCATGGCACTTGTGGCATTGACAAACGCGTAACATTTTTATGACAATGATGTTGTTGATGAAATTGATATAAAAGTATTATAAAAGTTTAGATTAAATATACATGTTTTAAGAATAAATAATTGGATTTATTATTTCAGGTAAGAAATCTTGATTTATTTTTTTTTTGTACATAGTACATAAAACACGGGTGTATCTTAGTGTCTTTTTGTTGTTTAAAAAATTAATTTTTATTTCAACAGAACCGCCATGTTAGAGTTCGTGAGTCTCTTTACACGATGCAGACTTTTCCAACGTTCTAAGCCTTTCGCAAATGCCCTAAAACTCCCTTTAAAATTTGGCATTTTTTTAAAACAATTGAAAAGATGGTATGAAAAACACCCTGTATCTCGTGAATTAATTGCATTTTTGGGTTTTCTTATTGCCATATGGCAATAAAATAAGATAAAGTCCATGTAAATTGATAATAACTATGATATGGATAGTAATAGAGCGCAAATCATATGAAATAAATTAGTTTAAGATAAAGTGGTAAATTCATTCACATATTCTTTACTTTTATTGTTTTAAATTGATTCATGACATTTCAAGCGTGAAATGGGATAAAGTGGCCGTAAAGTTGATACAATCCGTTGCTGCGATAGCCCATGTTTACAAAACATTGCAACAACGATGCGGAAACCCGCGGGAATATTTTTAGTTAAAACGGACATTCTAGCGACATCTCGGAAGCCTTAAAAGTACTATTTAAATTCAAAAAAGTTGAAAACAAGAGGTGGAAAACACTCTGTATCTCGTGAACTAATTGATTTTTTTGGAGTTTCTCACTGCCATGTTGATGCTCGAGAGTTTCTCTACAAGATGCATACTTTTTCAACGCCTGAATCTTTCTAGAAGTGCTCTAAAATGCACTTCAAATATAACTATTTATGTCAAAGAATTTCATATTTCGGTCGAAGAACAGAGTCGAACTTTTTTGTTAAATGTTTTTCGGTCAAAGAACAGGGCCAAACTTATTTTCTTAAAAATATTTTTGGCGGAAGAACAGAGTCAAACTTTTCTGTTAAAATTTTTTTGGTCGAAGAACAGAGACGAACTTATTTTCTTAAAATATTTTCGGCTGAACAACAGGGTCGAACTTTTTTGTTCAAAAATTTTTCGGTCGAAGAACAGGGTCGAACTTATTTTCTTAAAAAATGTTTGGTCGAACAACAGGGTTGGACTTTTTTCTTAAATTTTTTCCGTGAAACCGCCGAGATTAAATTGCGATTATCTCGAAAACTAAAAAGCTACGAAAAAGAACTTCATATTCTTAATCCTTAAAAATTCAAGATGGCACCTTTTTAAAAACGACCAAAAGTGCATAAAAAAATTAACGAAAAGATTTTGTTATAAAAAGGCAAATGATTTCACTTTTTATGTTCGAAATTAAAAGTTAGAATTTTCAAATTCTGATAGATAATTTAATTCTACATCGATTATTTTAGTAACTTTTTTGGCTAGCATATACCGCTAAGGCCCTATTTGCAATTTTAATAAAAAAATTAATACAATTCGAATAGCAACAAAACATGACTTAGTTAGGGAAATAATTATCAAAACACATAATTTTAGTACAAAATTTTATTAAGATAAAGTATGTAGAATTACATGTTCTTCAATATTCTATAATAAAAAAGTTAAATTTCCAATTTCTATTTTTTGCTTAGGAAATGTTAGAGAAAACGAATAAACCAGTTTTTCGCACTTATCTTGAAAACCATTAGAGATAAAGAAAAACCGTTTTCATATTCGTAAGTAGAATTAAATTTTACATTATATAACATTTTAAAATTTACAATTATCAACACTTATGTAATAATTAAAAATGGTCAATAACTTGAAAACTAATTAAGATAGCGCAACCAAACTGGGATTTGTGGATTCTTGGCATTGTTTTTCACCAGTTTGGAAAGTTTGGGGAAATTCGGAGAAGTGGTTTTATTTTATCAGTTTTGAATTTACCACCCATTTTCCGAAATATTGATGTTATCGGAAAACTGACTTGATATCTTTCATCCCCTTGGAAAACTCAATCGATTAGCGTTTTCCATTTTCTTGTAGCGAAAAAAATATTTTTTGAGGCCTCAAAGAGTCAAGTGTAACCTCTTGACTCTTTTCGAGTGGTCTTTGGTCAACTTTGGAAAATGGAAAAACGAAATCTGCCATTCTATAGATCCTTATCACCGCATGAACAAAATGAAGAAAACTCTTTTCTAACTTTATTACTTTGCGAGAAAATTGCGTCGGAAAATCAGTTTTCAATTGTTTAAAATTGTAAATTTTAAAAGCGTATTTCATGAAAAATTTAAAACTGTACACAGTATCGTTTAATATTTTTGTTTATCTTTATTATATATAGTTATAGTTTCAGAGATAATTGATAATTAAGTTCTATTTTAAAGAAAAATTTTATTTAAAACAATCTACAGAGTAAACCGTTAATACAATCAAGTAGGAAATTATATAAACAAGACAAAGCCTCTTTACAAAATAGTATAATCAATGGTAAAATCATTAATTATTTCAACCAGTCAATAAAATGTCAGGCACCTCCGCCAAAATTTTGAATTTTTAAAATTTAAAAAACTAAAAATTCTATTTTTAAAAATATTATTACTGATAATAACAGATAATTAAAATTCACATATTTTATCTTAGTACAATTTTTCTTTATCATTGATAGTTTACGAGTAATTTCCGATTGAAAGTTCCAATTCTAGATTACCACATATTCAAAATTTAAGACCAAACAAGTATAAATAACATAATTTACATTTGACTAAATAAAGTAGACGTCCAGCATGTACCTTTGACATTTTCATAAATGTTAACACAACTTTCACAAACACAAACAAAACAAAATTCACCTGCGTCCGTTCACAAAATGCAAAACTGCAAGTTATATATTTCATAATTAATATATGCAGAAATCGCATGGTCAAAGAATTCGCATGTCGCTGTTTATTTATTCTACNTGACAAACGCGTAACATTTTTATGACAATGATGTTGTTGATGAAATTGATATAAAAGTATTATAAAAGTTTAGATTAAATATACATGTTTTAAGAATAAATAATTGGATTTATTATTTCTGGTAAGAAACTTTGATTTATTTGTTTTGCACTTGGTATAGGAAACACTGGTGTTTCTTAGTGTCTTATTGTTGTTTAAAAAATGAATTTGGAATTTCAACAGTACCGCCATGTTATTTGGCATTTTTAAAAGAAATTTGAAGACATGGTATGAAAAACACCCTGTATCTCGTGAATTAATTGCCTTTTTTGGATTTTCCTATTGCCAAATGAAAATAAGATAAAGATAAATTGATAATAACTATGATATGGATAGTAATAGAGCGCAAATCATATGAAATGAGTTAATTTATGATAAAATAGTAAATTTATTCACATATTCTTTATTTTTATTATTTTAAATTGATTTGCATGACATTTCAAGCGTGAACTGAGATAAAGTGGACGTTTGTTGATAAAATCCGCTGCTGCGATAGCCAATGTTTACAAAACATTGCAACAACGTTATGAGAAACCCGCGAGAATATTTTTAGTTAAAACGGACATTCTAGCGACATCTCGGAAGCCTTAAAAGTACTATTTAAATTCAAAAAAGTTGAAAACAAGAGGTGGAAAACACTCTGTATCTCGTGAACTAATTGATTTTTTTGGAGTTTCTCACTGCCATGTTGATGCTCGAGAGTTTCTCTACAAGATGCATACTTTTTCAACGCCTGAATCTTTCTAGAAGTGCTCTAAAATGCACTTCAAATATAACTATTTATGTCAAAGAATTTCATTTTCGGTCGAAGAACAGAGTCGAACTTTTTTGTTAAATGTTTTTCGGTCAAAGAACAGGGCCAAACTTATTTTCTTAAAAATATTTTTGGTCGAAGAACAGGGACGAACTTATTTTCTTAAAATATTTTCGGCTGAACAACAGGGTCGAACTTTTTTGTTCAAAAATTTTTCGGTCGAAGAACAGGGTCGAACTTATTTTCATAAAAAATTTTGGGTCAAATAACAGAGTCGGACTTTTTCTTAAATTTTTTCCGTGAAACCGCCGAGATTAAATTGCGATTATCTCGAAAACTAAAAAAGCTACGAAAAAAAGAACTTCATATTCTTAATCCTTAAAAAATTCTCTACAAGATGGCACTTTTTTTAAAAAACGACCAAAAATGCATAAAAAAATTTAACGAAAAGATTTTGTTATAAAAAAGGCAAAAGATTTCTCTTTTTTATGTTCGAAATTAAAAGTTAGAATTTTCAAATTCTGATAGATAATTTAATTCTACATCGATTATTTTAGTAACTTTTTTGGCTAGCATATACCGCTAAGGCCCTATTTGCAATTTTAATAAAAATTAATGTAATTTGAATAGCGACAAAACATGACTTAGTTAAGATGATTATTATATTATCAAAACACTTAATTTTAGAACAAAATTTTATTAAGATAAAGTATGCAGAATTACATGTTCTTCAATATTATGCAATAAAAAGACATATTTCCAATATTTATTTTTGGCTTAGGAAATGATGAGAAAACAAATAAAACTGTTTTTCGCACTTATCTTGAAAACCATTAGAGATAAAGGAAAACGGTTTTCATATTCGTATGTAGAATTAAATTTTGCATTATATAACATGTTAAAATTTACAGTTATCAACAATTATGTAATAATTAAAAATGTTTAATAACTTGAAAACTAATTAAGATAGCGCAACCAAACCTGGATTAATAGATTCCTGGCATTATTTTTCATCACTTTGGAAAGTTTGGGAAAATCGGCGAGGTAGTTTTATTTGATCAGTTTTGAATTTACCACTAATTTTCCGAAATATTGATGTTATCGGAAAACTGACTTGATATCTTTCATCCCCTTGGAAAACTCAATCGATTAGCGTTTTCCATTTTCTTTAGCGTAAAAATATTTTTGAGGCCAAAAAGAGTCAAGTGTAACCTCTTGACTCTTTTCGAGTGGTCTTTGGTCAACTTTGGAAAATGGAAAAACGAAATCTGCCATTCTATAGATCCTTATCACCGCATGAACAAAATGAAGAAAACTCTTTTCTAACTTTATTACTTTGCGAGAAAATTGCGTCGGAAAATCAGTTTTCAATTGTTTAAAATTGTAAATTTTAAAAGCGTATTTCATGAAAAATTTAAAACTGTACACAGTATCGTTTAATATTTTTGTTTATCTTTATTATATATAGTTATAGTTTCAGCGATAATTGATAATTAAGTTTTATTTTAAAGACACATTGTATTTAAAACAATCTACAGAGTAAACCGTAAATACTATCAAGTATGAAATTATATAAACAAGGGAAAGCCTCTTTACAAAATGGTATAATCAATGTTAAATTCATTAATTATTTCAACCAGTCATTAAAATGTCAGGCACCTCCGCCAAAATTTTGATTTTAAAATTTAAAACTAAAAATTAAATTTTTAAAAATATTATTACAGATAATAAAAGATAATTAAGATTCACATATTTTATCTTAGTAAAATTTTTCTTTATCATTGTTAGTTTACGAGTAATTTCCTTGAAATTTCCAATTCTAGATTACCACATATTCAAAATTTAAGATAAAACAAGTATAAATAACATAATTTACATTTGACTAAATAAAGTAGACGTCCAGCATGTACCTTTGACATTTTCATAAATGTTAACACAACTTTCACAAACACAAACAAAACAAAATTCACCTGCGTCCTTTTCAAACTGCAAAACTGCAACTTATATATTTCATAATTAATATATGCAGAAATCGCATGGTCAAAGAATTCGCATGTCGCTTTTTATTTATTCTACGCGTTCATTCATAAATATCAACAGGTAAAACCGCCACAATAGACATTTCTTATGCATTCTGCACTCACTGAAGGCTGCGATCGGCGATAATGTCTGAAATTTGTGTGCCAACCAAAATTAATGATTACTACTCAACGAAATTGCTTGAAAAACCCACAATTACAAACAAAAATAAGAAAAACAAAATTTAGATTCCCTCTGATATAATTCGTGAAATGTTATGTTATGCAAAAGAAAGTTCAGTTCTTTGGATGAATTTCATAAGACCACCTGCGGTTGTCACCTATCGCGTTGGCAATGTGAATCATTGGCCTGCATCCCAATATTAACATAAATTAAACCACAAATGATATTTAGCTTCTATTTTCTTTTTTAACAAAAGTTAGTGGGAACATCCGTTTGATCCGAGTATAAAAAGCGATGACATCGACTTGGAGATGCATTCCAACAACATTTGTGTCAAGATGCGCGTGTTCATAGTAAGTTTTTTTGTTTTTATTCAATTTTATTAAACTAATTACATTTTTTACTTCATTTAGGTATTGTTAGTGGTTGCTCTGGTTTGTGGTGAAGAGTCTAAACCCACAAAGAAAGACAAACGCTACGTGTCTATCGGTGGTAAAGGTTTTAACCATTATCGAGGCCCGGGTGACCATTATTATCACTTGGACATTGGCAGCGGTGGCCACGGCACCAACTATGGAAGTTCCGGCATTTCCGGAAGTCTTGGAGGTGGTGCAAGTTTTGGAGGATCAATTTCTGCTGGTTTAGGAGGTTATGGTTCAGGTGGATCCGGTTATGGAGGTTATGGGGACTCGTCATTCACTTCCGGTGGATTAAATGGATTAAATCATGGCGGTGGTTTTGGTTTCGGCTCTGGTAACACAGCTTTCATCGGATCCAACTCTAACCTCTACGGAAACGGCAATGGATTCAATTATGGCAACTATGGCGGCAACCGTCACACCCACACTCACACCTACTCTGAGAATACAGTTACTAAGCAAGTTCCTGTGCGTATTCCACAACCATATCCAGTTACTGTCACCAAAGAAGTCCGTGTGCCTGTTCCTCAACCCTATCCAGTGCAAGTAGTTAAAAATGTTCCGGTTCGTGTGGAAGTTAAAGTACCAGTGCACGTCCCAAAACCGTATCCGGTTACTGTAACGAAGAAAGTGCCCGTGCAGGTGCCAGTTTACGTCAAAGTGCCACATCCGGTTAGAGTGGAAGTACCAGTTGAGAAACCCTACCCTGTACATGTGGAGAAACCTGTTCCTGTGCCAGTTAAAGTTCCGGTCTATGTAAAGGTCCCAGTTCCTGTACCCACAGGCGGGTCAGGCCCACATGTTGATCACATTGATATCCATCATACTGGTAATGGTGGAGCTGGTAGTATTTATGTAACTGGTAGTTCTGGTGGTGCTTCAGGTTCAGGTACTAGTTTTGGAACATCTGGTACTTCATTTGGAGGCAATAGTGGTGGTTTTGGAATATCGGGAGGGTCAGGAACACTTGGAGGAAGCAGTGGTGGTTTTGGTATATCTGGAGGATCAATTGGAGGAAGCAGTGGTTTTGAATCCAGTGGCTTTGAAGGAAATTTTGACTCTGGGAACTTTGAAGGTGGTTCCAGCAGTTTTGAATCATCCGGAGGTGACTTTGGTGGTTCCCTAGGTGGTTCAAGCGGTTCCTTCACAACATCAGGAGGTTTTGGAGGTAATGGAGGTTTCGTATCAGGTGAATCCGGTCATTACGGGACCACCTCACACAGCGGAAGCAATGAAGGTGGATATTACAGCGGAAACTATCACAGCTCCTTATCAGATGGTGGCTACCATCATGGAAATCACTTTCATAACTAACCTCACAAGTAAAATGTAGAATTTAAGGTTTCAATAGAAATAAAACAAACAATTTCAACAGAAACGCGTTTTTAATGCTTTAAAACAAGTGTACCCCATGATTTCCCACTTTTAACTTTAACAGGTAATGGTACATCCAACTTGACAGACTCCTGCATACATTTCTTCAATATACGAGCAAAGACATCTTCGTATTTCAAAGGAACTTCATATAACAACTCATCATGCAACTGTAGAATCAACTTGGGGGCATTTCGCGAGTTACGAAACTTTTCGCAGACTTTCCTGTCGACTAGAATCATCGCTTGTTTGGCAATATCAGCAGCTGATCCCTGGACTGTCGTATTAACAGCTTGACGTTCTGCTTTACCTTCAAAAATAACAAACAATAAGAAAACAATCAAAACAAAAGTAAAAACATAAACAAACTTCTTTCTGATTGATTTGTAGAATTAATCATAGATAAATATCTTCTGCGTCCCAGCAAAGTCTCAACATATCCTTGCTCCACACATTTATCAATGGTAACTTTAATAAACCTCCGAATTCCTGGATAATTCTGATGGAATGTCTCTGTAAACTCCAATGCTTCATTCTCGGTGATACTCATTTGATCCGCAAGAGTCTTATTACCAATTCCATAGATAATCCCGTAACAAATCTGTTTTGTTTGTTGTCTTAGAGTATCATCAACTTCTTCCTCGGAGATTTTCATCCATTTGGCAGCTATGGCTTTAAATATATCACAGTCCGAACACATTATTTGACTTAGAATTGAATCTTTTGACAAGTGTGCTAGTATTCTAATTCCAACTGACAATAATCAGCGGATACAATGATTGCCTTCCCAGATTCTAAACAACTAAAGGCACTACGCAAGGAAATCTCATGAGTTTTATTTGTAATGGGATCAACAAATTGAAAATCTCGTGGGACATTTTGAACATTCGGTTCGTGCATCGATACCCTTCCAGTGGAATTCTGCGTGATGCAAACTCCACGTATCCGGGATTCTTCAATGTTTCT